AAAACTGGACATAAATTTTTCCGTTTTGAAAAGTGAACAAATACTTTTGATAGCTTAAAAATTGAACTTAAACTTGTGATAACATAAAAACTGGACATACATTTTTGGCATTGATAAAGTTTACCTAGATTTTAGGTGTGTAAAAATTGTGCATAATTTTTAGTAAATTCCAAAGTGCTGATAATTTTTTGCCATCGATTGGGCATAAGTTCTTAGCAACTTGAAAAGTGATCTGAGTTTTTTTTTTGCCTTCAAAAACTCTAGATAAAGAGCTGGCAATTTAAAAACTACGCGCAGATTTTTGGTCTTAAACACCGGACTAAATGTTTAGTAATCTAAGAAATATCAAGCAAAATATAGACGGTCAAGGAATGTAGAGAGCGACTAAAGAGTGGTAAATAGATTACAAAAATATTTAACAGTGCAATAGTCATTGTAGACCTTTTCCTTTCATACTTTGTATTATTACTTCCACCTCTTGAGCGCTAGACATAAACATCTAGTTTTTAAATTACCAAAAATGCTTAATTTTCAAGCGTTCATATAAAGCTTCGTGTGTATTGAAGTAAACCCACTTGATAAAAATAGCACTAGAAAAATGCCTTCTTTTACATTCCTCACGATAAGCTAATTTGATGATACTCATCTGCAGCAAATTTAAATAAATAAATGAAACAATGCCTAAACATGCACTTGTCGTATAAAAATAACAATACTCGGAATACGAGCCGGCAATTTTGAGTTCCACTTTACATTATTGCTGCGATATTGTATGTATTTATTCAGTCAAAATGTCAATTCAGACAAGCAGATAGACCATCGTCAGTGTACAATCAACGCAGTACTCAAACGAAGGTACCCGCTACTATAAGCCTTGTAACTTCCCAGTTGGAAAAGTAGTAATGCATTACATGCGTGATAAATAATGTAATGCTTTCCTTAGCAATATTAGATTCTATAAGTGATTAGCATGTAATCAGCTTTCTAATGTATCCAAAAAGTCCCAAAAAAATCATATTAAATCACAAGCATTCCTGGATACTAGGTAATGCCCCACTTTTCTTAGGACTTCGCCGTGGGAGAAATGAATTTTCGTATGTGAAAATGGCTGTTTTACTGATTATTTATTTTTTTGATTTCATACATTACATTTTCCCACTGGGTTGGTGCTCTCGTGATGGTGGTGATGGGGCGATTGGCTGTTGCCAGGCATTTACATATTGACGGCCACATAGGCGCGTGGATATGTTTTGCCGTCAACTTGATATGCAAATTCATGTATTAACCATTTGATTTACTTGTTACTGGCAATTTACTTGTTAAAGCCATTGTCGAATAATGGAAAAAATGCTAAATATTTTACTGTGGAATGGAATGGAATGTTTGTATTAAAAAATTCATAGAAATGTGGTGAGTGAATGATTTTTGTGTTTATGTACTTGGATGTTTCACCGAGAGTATAACAGCAAAATGCAAATGTTTTATTTCTTGTACAAACGAATGAAATAAATGTAAATACATAAATGCGTACCAATGTCAAAAAATGTACATTTTAAACATTCGTTTGCGCTTTCTTTTCTAGTATTGATTAAATTAAATTGATTTTACTCCTATAAATATAGATAATTTATGTGCGTAAACATTTTCTTCTCCTTAAAAGAGATATTACACTCATTTATCTAATTATATTTTTTCTTTCTTAAATAATTGCTTTAAAGCAAATATAAAAAAAAAATAATAATAAGTATTAAATTTTAAATTTTTATAAAAATTGTCATGTATAATTTTATGGGTTGTAGGAATCTGCACACACTTACATATGTATGTAAATAATTACTATCATTTTTTTAAGATTCTATTAGACTATTCACAACGATGTAGTAAGCGTCGTTTTATTGTATGTCATAAACTTTTAATGGTTAAAAGTTTATTTGACCAAATTACGATTCTGTTACCCATATATTTTCATTTAGTTTTTGTTTTTTGGTTTTGTGGAAATGTATTTGCCGAATTGTTTACATAAGTATAGGATTTACGTAAGTGGTTGATGAAATTTTATGCATACTTGCCATTTAGATACATAAGTATATGTCATATTAAATAAAAGGTTTCTTTCCCAAAATACTTTTGAGTGGTCTTCCTTTCTCTGGGATCCAAGAAGGTTTTTTTATGCCCTGATTACGCTTGTGCTCTTTGGTGGCTCTCTGTGAAGCCTAAATAATGCTGGGCAAAATAGCATTGGAGGATTGCAGCCAATTGATTGAACATAGGATACACACGGCTACAGACCCATGCATACTTTTATTTGGAGCGCCATCTGGTGGCCAGCCCTAAATAAATATAACGTTGTTAAAAACTTTGCGGAACTTTGTAATCCTTTTCTTGGTTCACGACATGTGGTCTCGCTTACTTATTTAGGAGTTATATTTAATCATATGCCCGACCTATGTACACGGCCAGTAAGTTAGGTTCAGTCTGGTTAAATTGAAGATCCACACAAAGATATTTCCTAAATTTTTCTATGCTATACCATTGAAAACGCATTTTTAAATGGAAATTATAAAAAAAAGGAAGGGTTTGTGAGAAGTTCCGCAGAGAGACAATGAAAGTGCCTTAGATTTTTTCGGAAGGTTCCACTAAGTCTGCGAAATTAGATATTTGAAATTAAGCCTTGAGAAAGCTGGTTAACTAAGAATATAATGCTGAGATAATGATACGTCGTTGTCTTCCAATCTCAAGCACAACGAAGCGTTAAGTGAAACTTGCTCTACAGCCAATTTGTAACATTCCCGCCCCAGTTTTCGACGGCATATCTAACCTTGCCAAAAAAAAAATTACGAAAATGTGAGTTAAATCGCAGAAATTTAACACCAAATGCACGCATTCGTATTTGCAAAGATAAGTTAACCACAAAACCGCAAACATAGAAGCGATAATAAAAACTAAAAACCACTGCAAGTTTTACACTGCGTATACGCAACTTTAAACGACTGCTGTTTACCAGTGGGTGGCGTGGTAAAACTGCGGTGTGGAATGCGCTCACCTAGTTTCACGCCATCGGACGAAGTGAATGAATAGATGCAATCAAAATGAAATGAAATGAAAATAAAGTAAAATTAAATAAAAACGCAGTGTCCATTAATCCACAGAAGTCCAACACAAAAAAAAAGCAGCGACGAGAAAAAATTCAATAAGAAATTGCGAGTTCGTTTTAGTTTTTATTTTAGTTTTTTATTGAGTGGCCGTAAAGTCGAAAACAAAACAACAAAAAAAAACAAGGGGAATAAATAAACTTGGATATAAAATAGTTTGCGTGTATCTTCCTTTGTTATTAAATTCAGTAAAGCTTGTAGGTATGTACATATGTATTTACGCACAGCTGACAAAACACGAAGTGACTTTTTTGAAGCTATAATTGGCACACCCATGAATACACAGTCACTGGGATACAAAAAATACGTCCGCACATACATATCTACACACATTGATTGTCGCATATTCGAAGGGCACACAATTTTTTTGTGTTTGTATCCCATTGCTACTTTTATATTCTTTAATGAAGTCATATTGACACAATTAACACGATTTCACTATTCATGGCTCCCGATAGAGAAGGGAATGACTTTTTATTTTGCAAGTTTTTTGGTTTAAAAATTTCTGAAAAATACCTTTGTAGAAGGGAAGCTTTTAATTTCTAATTCACAGCGTTTTGTGACATTCAGCGACTGTAAATGAAATATTACTTTTAAAATTTCCTATCCGGTTTCTCAAAGTACCATTACAACTCCCCTTAGTTGAAGGTAAAATGCGATTTCCTAATGATTTTAAAAAGGCTGACCTCAGTTATATTTGAATAAAAAACCTATCATTTTCGATAACTATTTTTTAAAGTCAACTTTTAAATTAAAATTTGCCAAAAACTTTTTGAGCAGAAAATGATCCTTTGGATCGACAACACCTTTGGTTAAGCATAAATGGCTCACTGG